CCAGGGGGAGTACAACTCTCATCCGCTTCACACTACAGAAACTGGGGATAAGCTCCAGCCCTATTGTCCCACCAAAGGTGAACTAAAATGATGAGGCATGAGGTTTTTTTTTGTTTTTTTCTGTAGCATGTACATAATTAAATACATATTATTTAATGCCACAATTTGAAATGTTTTCGTTATTTTTTTCAGACTGCAAGTAAAACAGAAGTTAAGAAGAAATCTGGTGAATGAAACCAAATATCACTGCAACAGCAACAAACACCTTTTTAAATTTCATAATTTTTTGTACTAATGTATGTGTATGACTGTTCAGACACACAGTGATAGGCTAGACTAGCTTACATCAGCAAAGCTAATCCACAGAAAAACAAGCTATTGCAAGAACCTTCAGCACTCTCATCTTATACATGCAGATGAGAAGAATTAATAATGGGCACTCCCTGTTCATCGACCAACACAACCTAGACCCAATTTGTTGCATGAATTTGCACATTTGTAAGTTACCTCACGATTTAATGTGGTGGACAGACTAAAGCTATAGCTTTAACTGGTTTTCCAAGTAGCGAAGACTTGAAGAAAGGGGTGCTGGAAGTAACTGAATGAGATATGTCCACACATTGCGCGCCATGAGTGTTAGGTTTTGCGGACACCGTCCTTATGCATATATCCACTGTTATTACTATCATTAATGTCTTTACTATTACAGTACTACTTTTTTTTAAATTCATTGAAATAAATATTAGACCCTGAATCCTTGTTTGTTTAGGTTTGAACAAGTTGGCTTATATTAAAGAAAGGGATGATGATGATGAGATTGGGTTTCATGAAAACTTGTTTAACTGTTTCAAAACCATTTCTTGCCTAGTTTTTGCATTACCAAGCCAAGTGAGGCGTGGCTGGTGTTTACTAGCTGGCACAGCTAATCTGGTACTTACCACTGACAAAAATAACAGAAGCTGGATGGCTTAGCAGGGGGCTTAAAGCTTATCCACTGACAAAGTCCAGACAATAATATTTCTTTGTGGTTTAATTTTTCTCAGCTGTACACCGTGTGTCTGAATATACTATATTGATTTTTTAAATGTTAATGTTTCTTGAAAAAAGGGTTTTCGTTAAGCAATTTATGGAAAATACATTTATTTACTTTTTTTGTTATTAATTGTCAAAGTATAGACACAAGAAGAAACAAAGATAAATTGAAATATGTATGTAGGATATTTAGGATATTTTTTATCCTCTTAGTTAAAAATAAATTGGTGCAAGCCCAAAGAGCTTGAAGAAAATATACTATGCAGGTTTAAATAATGGTAGCTTTTAGAGTTGTAGAATTACCACCTTACAAAAGTAGCTTTTTTATGAGTTGATTATAATTTTTTTTTATTATTCATTTAAAAAAAAAAAAGTATTAACACCCTGGTCTGTCCATCGTTGATTGGCTGTGATGTAGCTTGTAGCAAATTTGCGTTTAGATATAACAGGCTTCTTTGGTCGCTAAACTGTACATCTTTGGCTCTGTTTCTAATGACCACCGCCAAGAACAGTTTGTTTAATTAACAGTTAAATGTTGCCTATTTTATGGCAACAAACTTGGTACTCCAAAAATAAATAGGGTATCAGTCCGTAGTCATATTTAAAGCCCCATTCCCGGCAAAATTTCACTAAAAACTGACTTTTTTTAGAAAATATGCATTTGCATTACTCCAATTTTTATAAATCATGGAAAAATATTGGCATGAATTTTAGTTTTACTCAAAAGAATAAAAAAAAAAGAGAAATACAGACTATTTCTCATAAAATATTACCATTTTCTCGACGAATTCATCGTTACTAGGCAAATTCAGAGGTTGTAGATCGCATCCACTGGAATACTCTCGCTTTTATTTATACTTTATACAGCCAATAAAGTGCGCCCTCTCTAATGAGATTAGTTTTTGTACTTCGCATCTCGCACAATGCGGTCGTTCGGTTAGGCTGAGATATGTTTGTTTAAGTGTCAAAATCTCAGTCAGAATCAGTTTTTTAACAAATTTGAAATAATTCAAGTGTCAATACTAGCAACGGAAAATATCATGTCGGCCGTTTTTATGTGTGATAACAGAACCTAAATCGAGGTAAGGCTAGGCCTAGCCTAGCAGCATTGGATAGCCTATCCGATATTTCTTCTCACGACCTATCGCAAAATCAACATGAAAAATTCATCCGCATTTATTTTTTGTGTTAAAATTAAATTAAATAAGACTGTTAAATTAATTAAATTAAAGTCTTATTTTACATTTTTTTCATTCTTAGTAATGTCTAAATTCATTTAAACTAGCAATTCCGTATTATATTTATAAATCTTTATAACATTATACAAAAATTAGATTTTGAAATTTTGCCGGGAATGGGGCTTTAAATGAAAGCTGGGCACTTACTGCGTCGTAGGACGGTCGTACAATGAATGTGTGAACTTGGTTAGGTACAGTTTGTTCAAAATTACCAGTTGAGGGGGTGGGGGTGCATAGGATACAGACTGATCATATTGTTTGTCTAACACATTCCATTCATAAAGCTTGTTATTTTTGTCGAAATAATTTCAAATAATCATGTTGCATTTATAATTAAAGCTCTTCACATTTAAATCAGAGGTTACGATTTATGTGTAATTTGATAACGCTTGTAAATTTTTCACTAGAATAAATGGTTGTTTGGTGTTAGATCAAACAGGGGTGGTGCCAAGATTTCTCCGACACGGGGGCCGATTCCCCCGACGATGGGATGATAACCCCGATGATAGCAAAGTGGGCTTGGTTGAGCATCGCTTAAAATGTTTCGAAAGTGCTCCTGGGGTTTCAGAGGCTTATTTAATCGATTTTAGAGTCTACTAATATGTACAAAATACATATAATATTTTTTTTCTCCCTGACGGAGGGTGGGGGGGGCAGCTCTCCCGCTGGCGCCATCCTTGCCGACGTGTAGGTATTTTCAATCAGTATTTGTCAACACTTACCCAGAGTTTTTTTTCTCATCTCTTCTAAGCCATGTTCCTTTTTAACCCCTTGTCAGTAAAACCAGGCCTATGGTGTTTGGTCTTGAGTTGGCCGATACGATGATTTACCTGTATGACCGACATTTCTGTGATTTAAGCAATTGAAAATGGCACATGTGGTATGCTATGACATTGTAGAAGATACAGGTTCAAAATACAGTAACTTGATTATCATAGAAAAATTAAATCTAATATATATATATTATAATTAACACTCCTATTATAAGATATAATACTCGAACATTCACTGTTATTAAAAAATAATACTGCATGTATTGTACTTTTAAGAGATATAATATTTGTACACAGTAAACAGGGGTGAAATGCATTTTCTACATAAAACATAAAAATTTGCAGTGTTGTATATTTGAATGGTGCTCAGGTATTGCACTGTACCTTTTTAGCTATATTTTTCAGTAACAAAATATGTAAAGTACATATTGAGACTGGTTCAGCTATTGTAATGTTCACTAATTTTTTTGCACTCGTGTTCACCATATTGTACC